TTCTTCAATTTTTCTGCAATTCTTGAAATTTATGCTGAAAATATTTGGATTTTGACCCAAATTATTTTCTTTTGAAATATTTTGCTGGGACATAAAATTTTCCGCTGAAATATTTGGACCTTGACCCAAATCAAATTTTTTGGAAATTTTTGCTCAAATTTTTGGATTTTTGACCCAAATTATTTGTTTGAAATATTTCTTCTGAAATATTTGGATTTATACATACATAATTTTCTCTAATTCTCGTTGCGAATTTTATCGAAAAAATTTGGCGAATTTAGAAAATTTGTTGAATCAGACAAATTTTCACAAGCAATAATCAAAGTTATTGGTTATAAAATAAAATCCTCCTTTCATAGGATATTAAGTGATTTTAACTAAAAAATTTTAAAATTTTTTTCGACAACCCAACACACATTTTTACTTCGTTGAAATTTTTTTGGATTCTCTGAATTTTTTTTGGGATTTTCAACTTCTCGTTGACAATCAAATTAGACTCTCGTTTTTTTTTGGAAAAAACATCTCTGGTAATTTGCAATTCTCGTTTAAACACTTCTGTTTTAAAAACTTTTGATTATTTGTCGAATTGCAAAAATAAAATCCTCCTGTAAGTGGACTTTAAGAGATTTTATTTTCTTTTTTGCTCATTTTGGCGAAAATTTGACCCTTCTGGTAACCCAGCAAACATTTTTAATCAAGTCAGTCCGGCGTCAAATATAAAAAAAAATTTTGAATTTTTGAAAAAAACTTTTAAATTATTGAAAGGAACGAAATATAATTTGACTCAAACCAATAAAATAGGATCGTTTTCGTCGACCAATATTGAAAAAAAAAACTTATCCTCATTTTAAAAAATCAAAATTTGGATAAAAGTTTAAATTCTAAACCAAGTTAGTCCTTTTCATTGGGCAACTTTTCTTTTTTGTAAACCAACAAAATTTCGTAAAGGTTAACGCTCAGTTTTCAAAATGGATAAAACTTTAAGCGATAAATTCACAAATTGCGTCAACGATCTTCTGGATTATATTTCAATTTTTTCAATAACCAAACCTGATGACACGGTACATACTTTGGAAACAACACGAATGGAGTTGGACTCTGCATGGGACCAGGTCAAGAGAGCCTACATAGACTGTCGGGATTATGTTCCAGAAGAGGAAGGAAAGCCGATCGATAAAAATAAACTGAGGAAGCACTATATGGATACCATGGGATCGTACAAAAAAGCGCTGAGTTCAATAAATGGACAAATTCAAAATCTTTTGGATGAAAAGACACAGGAAAAAATGAAAAGAGAGTCAGAGATGTCACAACAAGGAAGGGAAGTGGATTTCACAAACGTATCGCGGCTACCTCCATGCGATACAGACACATTTAAAGGTGGTTATAGAGAATGGCCGACTTTCAGAGATCTATTTTCGGCAATTTACATTAACAACTCAAAATTAAGCAATGTCGAAAAATTATTCCATTTAACGCAGAAGACAGCAGGAGAAGCTAGAGAAAGTATTTCACATGTCCCACTAACTAATGATGGATTTACATTAGCATGGAAAAATCTCACAGATCGTTACGAGAATAAACGAATGCAAATTAATGAAGAAATCAAGACACTTTTTAATCTACCTGGAGTTTCTACTGAATCAAGTCACACTATACAAAAACTACAACGCACTGTTAATAGCAGCATTCAGACACTGGGGATGCTTGATGTTGATGTTAAAGGATGGGATCCGATTTTAATATACATTTGTTCAACAAAATTACCTAGAGGCTTTTTAGAAGAATTCGAGAACTCATTAAGCGATTGTAAACAAATTCCAAAATGGGAACAGTTTGACGCTTTCTTAACAAACAAATTCAAAACTTTGGAATCAGTTGGTAACATAAAGCCTTCTACATCGAAATTCGCTCAACAAAAACCAACTAACAATCACACGCCTAGATTTTTGAAAACATTTCAAACAAATGTCTCAAAAAATACAAACAACTTTGGAGGAAGACCTACTAATGTAATATTACCTCAACAAAATAAGCCGAAAAATACTCAAACTTGTCAAGTCTGCAAATCAAATCATTTCATAAGAGATTGCAGCGAATTTTTGAAAAAGAGTGTGAATGACAGAATTCACATCGTGAAAACTTCACACTTATGCTACAATTGCTTGTCATCAAATCACGGAGTAAAGGATTGCAAAAGTCGCTTTGGCTGCCGTATTTGTACTATGAAACACAATACTTTGTTACACAAGGGAACGGAAACCCAAACAACTAACTCATACCTAGCTCGAGTGGAAGCACGACCTAGTACTAGTGCTGCCGCTCTTACAAATCAAATACAGTCCACTACAAACCTAGAACCAACTACTATTACTACTTTGACCCTCCAAGATAAGCAAATTAGTGAGCGACAATCTGGAGGAACGCTACTTTTCACAGCAATAGTACAAATTGAAACCAAAGGACAACTTTACGATGCCCGAGCTCTAATAGACTCAGGATCACAATCCACCTTTATTTCGGAAAAGATGAAAAACTTTTTGAAGTTACCTACACGGAACAACTTAGTTCATGTCACTGGCTTAAGTCAATTTGTTTCTGAGACTTCAACAAAATCTTGCTTGTTTACAATGAGATCCAAATACGACCCTAGCTTTAAACTGGAAGTCTGGGCTCCAGTTTTAAAGAACTTACCTTCAAATCTACCACCACAGAACTTAGATGATTCACAACTTCGAGATGTAACAGCATTAGAACTGGCTGACCCGAAATTTTACGTTAGTCAACCAATCGATTTACTTATTGGAATGGACATAGGACCATTAATATTCACAATTGGAACTCCAATGAAAACATTTGGATCAATTTTAACACAAAAAACCAAATTTGGATGGATAGTTGGAGGACCCATACCAGGAAGCATCCTTCAACGAAAACAAATTTCACTTTTAAACACAACTTCAATAGAGAAAGTACTTACACGTTTTTGGGAGGTGGAAGAGACCCCTAAAAAAGTTTTACGGTCAGAAGAAGACCAATTTTGTGAACAAAACTTCATGGAAACAACAATACGGAACAAGGATGGAAGATATGTGGTGACTCTCCCATTCAAAAAATGCGAGGAATTGGGGAATTCCAGAAACATCGCCCTAGCTCAATTCTACAGAATGGAGAAAAAACTTATGAAAACACCAGAGATCAAAGAACAATATGATGCTTCAATACTTGAATACTTAGAACTCGGTCATATGAGGAAAGTCAATCCGAATGAAATAGATAAAATGCCAAATTATTATCTACCACATCACGCTGTGATAAAACCCGATCGACTCACAACGAAGTTAAGAGTCGTATTTAACGCATCTTGTCCTTCATCAAACAAAACAAGTCTCAATGACATACTATTTCCTGGACCCATTCTTCAACAGGATTTAGTATTGCAAATTTTAAAATGGAGATTTTTCAAGTATGCCTTCAATGCAGATATAACAAAGATGTATCGCCAAATACTTTTGGATCCAAATCAAACAAAATATCAAAGAATTCTCTTTAGAAAGTCTCCGGAAAACCCAGTAGAGGATTATGAGCTGCTGACAGTTACATTTGGAGTTAACTGCGCACCATATTTAGCATTGAGAACTCTTCTTAAACTAGCAGAAGATGTCAAAGAATCGTACCCTAGAGCCGCAAATATAATTTTGAATAATTTGTATGTTGATGATGTGTTAGCTGGCGGCCACACTGAAGATGAATCAATAAAAGCTCGAAAGGAATTAACTGCTGCTTTAGACTCTGCTGGTTTTACACTAATGAAATGGGCATCAAATGATCGCAAAATAATACAAGATATTCCACATGAACATTTGCTACCACTCAATTGGCTAGACATTTCCGAAGATGCTTCAACTAAGACCCTTGGAATTCGATGGAATATCTCAGGCGATTATTTTTCGTTCACACCACCTTCAATGGAAAATAAAAATGTATCTTCAAAACGAGAAGTTTTATCAACGATAGCCAAATTGTTTGACCCATGTGGATGGCTGGCACCGGTGGTTGTTGTAGCCAAGCTAATAATGCAACAAATCTGGCTAGACAAAATTGACTGGGATGATCAATTGAAGCCAATAACTCAGATGAACTGGAACAATTTCGTCCAAAATAGCAAAGATATTGAATATCTGAGAGTTCCTCGATGGATTCAATACACGCTAGATGGTTCTGTAGAGATTCATGGATTTTGTGACGCGTCAGAAAGCGCATATGGAGCCACTCTTTATATTCGGGTGGAAAATACTGACCATAAGGCGCATACATTCTTATTAGCAGCAAAAACTCGTGTCGCTCCTATTAAAAAATTATCAATACCCAGACTCGAGTTATGCGGGGCGGTATTACTATCAAAATTAGCTAAATCCATTGTAAATAGCCTACAGATATCAAAATATTCGACACAATTTTGGACCGACTCTACCATCGTATTAGCATGGTTAAAAAAGCCTCCTTGTCATTGGAGCACATTTGTTGGAAATAGAGTCTCGGAAATTGCTGATAATGTTGGACAAGAAAATTGGAGACATGTTGATTCGGAAAATAATCCAGCTGATATTGCGAGCCGTGGATGTTCACCCGCAGAGCTAAAGACTAGTGATCTCTGGTGGCAGGGACCTCAATGGCTCAGAATGCCAAAAGACCGTTGGCCATCGTATGAAATCCCAAATGACACAAATTTGGAAGCCAAAACGGCAAAAGTCATGACCCTTTTCGCAGAAAAGGAAGACCCTTTAAAACATTTCTCCTCTTTATCTAAGGTTTATCGATCATACGCATATGCTCTAAGACTCTGGAAAAATTCTGGGGTAAATAGACAACACCTTCGCACTTCAGCAAACGACCTTACATCAGATGAAATCCAAGATGGAAAACGATCTTGTATAATTCGTACCCAAAAATTCGTATATGCAGACGAATACAACGCACTTATGAAAAAGAGTCAAATTTCTCCTTCAAGTCCTCTGTTGACCCTCAACCCATTTCTAGACTCAAAGGGTATTATTAGAGCAAATGGCCGATTGGTACAATCGCCAGCCCTTACATATAGCGAACGTCACCCAATAATATTACCACATGGCGCAAAACTTAGCAAATTGTTAGTCGAATTCACTCATAAGGTTACCTTACACGGGGGTAATCAATTAATGACCCGAGTATTAAGGTCCGAATTCTGGATATTCGGACTCAAGTCGCTAATCAAACAAACCATACGAAATTGTCGAATTTGCTTAATTCACAAAAAACAAACCCAAACTCAAATCATGGCGTCGCTACCACCCGAACGAACTTTTCTTTCTCGACCCTTTACAAACACAGGGGTAGATTTTGCAGGACCCTTTAACATTAAAAGTTATTCAGGAAGAGCCTGCTTTATTACAAAAGGCTACGTTTGCATTTTTGTCTGTTTCGCCACTAAGGCTATACATTTAGAACCAACAAGCGATTTGTCGACATATGCCTTTCTTGCCGCTTTTTCTAGGTTTATTAGCCGGCGAGGTTGTCCGTCTTGTATATTTTCGGACAACGGAACAAACTTTGTGGGAGCGGTTGATCTATTAAAGCGAGATAGACTAGCTTTCATGAAGAATATTCAAAATAGCACAATTCAAAATAATTTCACTCAAAATCTTACTTGGAAATTTATTCCTCCTGGTGCTCCGCACATGGGCGGCTTGTGGGAAGCTGGCGTCAAATCATTTAAAACTCATTTACGAAAAAGTATCCCAAAAATGAATTTCACTTTTGAAGAATTTACAACTATTTTATCAAGAATTGAAGGCTGCCTTAACTCACGACCCTTAAGTCCTGCTAGCGACGACCCAAACGACCTTTCCCCTTTGACACCTGGTCATTTCTTAATAGGAACACCTATTCTTACCCCAGCTGAACCAGACATTTCAGATACAGATTTAAGCTTAGTCAATCGTTGGAAAAGACTCAAAGTTATTTCACAATACTTTTGCAACAGATGGAAATTAGAATATCTTCACGAACTTCACAGAAGAACTAAGTGGAAATATGAAAAGGAGAACATCAAAGAAGGAGATTTAGTTGTCGTAAAAGATGATAGATTGGCTCCGCATGAATGGAAGTTAGGTCGTATCGAAAAAACGTATCCAGGTAGTGACCAAAATACCAGGGTTGTAGACATACGGACGGCAAGTGGCAACATTAGCAGACCCATTACAAAAATTGTCAAATTGTTTTCCGACTGACTAGTCGGATTCCCACTCAAAAAAGAATTTAGTACTCGCCTCAATTTCTTTTCAGATATGGCCGCTTACTTGCCCAACCAGGACTGCCGTCTAGACGATAGCAGCCGTAGCCCGAACTCAAATGCCCGACCAACAGCAAGAAGCGCCAATAGACCCATACGTCCCAGTTCCACATCCCCTGAAAGACGTCAACGAAGCCGATCCGACGCAAGACCCCGCCAACGCCAAGAAAGACCAAGCTACTGGCAATATTCATGTGGGCTCTGCCAAGATGACCATGCCCTCAGTGCCTGTGAGAGATTCCGCAGACAGACGCCCTTCCAGCGGTATGAGACCGTGGAGCGTCGGGGGTATTGCCGAAATTGCCTGGCGAGAAGTCATTTGGCCCCCGACTGCCCGTCTCTAACTGGTTGCCGGAGATGCAACGACCGGCACCATACCCTTTTGCACGGGGCGTCTCAATTGGATGAGGTATCCCTGAATATAGAAGCCGTCACCACCCCAGCCTTCGCATGGGATTTGGTTTTTGTACCAACAGCGATGGTACGCATAACGGCCGAGGGCATGGAGGGGTTTAGTATGCTGCGAGCTATTATTAGCCAATCTGCGACGATGTCAAAGATTTCCTATGCAGCTTTCCGTCGCTTGGGTCTGCAGTCGCGGAACTACAAAGGGGAGCGATTCACCACTTTCACCGTTTCGCCCCGCCGCACAAACTCTACATGGCGTCTGAAGGTAAATGCGCTAATAATCGAAGACCTGCCCAGACGCATTTACTCAGACCCAATACTAGAAGACCCCACTAGATGCTTCACGAGCTACGCTTTAGCTGACCCTGATCCCAGAGGAAATAGTCCGATCGATGTGGAACTGGGAGCGGATACGTACTCAGCCATAAGGAAAGATGGGTGTACAGCAGCTGGAATTGGAGATGTCCTGGCGTACAATACTCAACTGGGCTACGTGTTTGCTGGGCCAATCAAGAACATGCCGAGGAACTAAAGACCGAGGATCCTTATGGTATATTAGAAATGAATACTTACACTTGTCATTCGGGGCCCAGAAAATGTTCATAATATTGCTATTAATTTGCCCAACACTGTTGGTTGGATATTTACCGGCGGCCGCATAAATGGCATCATAACAAAATGATGTAAATAATGTAAACACGTACACATACACACATACATTTATGCAGCCACCGGTAAATTCCAATGCTGAATTCCAATAAATAAGCATCGTCAACAGCCAAAACAGGTTTGATGTGACGATGCAAATTGGGGAATAGTTAGTTCTCATCGAATTCTTAGCGCGAACGCGAGTTTCCCCCCCGAGTGACAAGTGAAAGTGTAAATACAAAACCCCAAAATAACAAGACTAATAACACAACTTTTACAAAAAATAGAGACATAAAACAGTGAAGTTACAACATAAAGAGCCAAACAACGTACAACAAGAAGGTGAAATTATGCAACGAAAGTTTTGAATTCTAAAACCTACAAACTAATTAATTTAAGAATATATTAACTTAAAACTAGTGAATTGAAACTTAGAAACTAGTGAGTTAAAATGTACAAAAATAAATAAACTAAATAAAACTTATGAACTATTGAAAACATAAAATAAATTGCAAAAACCTAAAACCTAATGTTACATCTATATTGCAATTACCCCTGGGAAAAAATCTAAATAATAATAAATAAAAACACAAAATAAAAAACAAAACTAATTTCTTATTATTTCAAAAGGCTCAAAGGCAAAAAAGGTAAGCCTAGAAACAGACACACTTTCCAATGCTTTAAATCTCTCCGTGAGAGATTTATTCAAGTCATCCCAGTGAGGCATTTCTGTCTTATTATGTAAAGACTGCTCCCATAGAGAAAGAGTAAGTTTCGGCATTTTTGTAGAGCAAATATAGGCAAATATAGGGTCCCAAGACTTCACATCAATTTTATATAAATCAAGGACCGCTATGCAATTAGTAACGTCTCGTTGCAGTTTCTTTAGGCCACATGCCGATTCTTGCCCACAATGAGCAAGATTAAATTAATTTCGCAGCTGAGTATTTACTAGAATTCTCTTATTTTCATATTGTTTCCTCAAATTGTCCCAAGCAATAGAGAAACCTTCGGCTGTCAACGAATTTCCTCACATTTATTCAAAAAGTCTTCTAGACTTGCCATTGTCATCGAGCTATCACTGCTCCTCCAGAGAAAGGTTTCTACTCTAATTTTCGAATAATTTGTTCCAAAAACGTTTACAATTAAACGTCCAATCTGAGCAGTCAAGAGCACTCAACAACCGTACCCTTGAGTTTTGAATGTTTGTAACGTCTTCCGTAAGTCTCCAAAAAAGATATTTTACAGACCGGCGATTAAACTTCAGCATTTATCAATCATAAATTTAGAACGATTGCTCTACTATATCTATTCCCCAATAATTGAGAAAGATTTAAAAAACTTTAATTTGTACTTCTTGTAAAGTTTCAAACGAGCAAATTATTTAATGGTGTGCCAACAAACAGTCCAAATAATGTTCATTCCAACAATGAATTTTCAATGTTTTCTCAATTAGAGTCTTTTCTTTGTTTGAGCAAGTCTCTATATTACAAATAGATGCTTCTGACCCACAGTTTCGAATATATAAAAGGGCAAAATCCACTAACAATAAAATTGCTCTTCTTTTACTACTTTACGACGTTTAAATTCGCCAAAATCTCATAGATTCCATTAAACGCCGTTACACACCACTGTGTATGTAGCAATATATTTTTATACCCTCCACCTTGGAAAGGAGGGTATATTAACTTTGTCATTCCGTTTGTAACATCCTTAAATATTCGTCTTAGACCCCATAAAGTATATATATTCATAATCAGCATAAAATTCTAAGTCGATTTAACGATGTCCGTCTGTCTGTCTGTCCGTCTGTCTGTCTGTCTGTCTGTCTGTCCGTCTGTCTGTCTGTTGAAATCACGATACAGCCCACATTATTTGACGTAGAGCTCCAAAATTTAGCAGAGCTATTTGCATTGTGTCTAGGATGGTTGGTATTGAAAATGAGATATATCGGTCCACGTTCTGGTATAGTCCCCATATAACGGTACCTCCCGATATTCGGTATTTTGATGATTTATGCCACGTTTTTTCACGGATTTGTCTTAAAATTGGTATTTGTAGGTCATAGCAGGTCCTTGAGCGTGTGGCAAAACATTGCATGTATGGGTCCAAAATTTGGTATAGCCCCCATATAACGGTACCTCCAGATATCCGGTAATTTGATGATTTTTGCAACATTTTTTCACGGATTTGTCTGAAAATCGGTATTTGTTGGTCATAATAGGTTCCAGCTCCGGTGGCGAAACATTGCATGTATGGGTCCATGATTTGGTATAGCCCTCATATAACGGTACCTCCCGATATTCGGTATTTTGGTGGTTTTTGCCACATTTTTTCACTGATTTGCCTAAAAATTGGTATTTGTGGGTCATAATGGGTCCTAGTTCGTGTGGCGAAACATTGTAATTATAGGTCCACGTTTTTGTATAGCCCCCATATAACGGGACCTCCCGATATTCGGTAATTTGATGATTTTTGCCACATTTTTCACGGATTTGTCTGAAATTTGGTATTTGTTGGTCATAATTGGTTCCAGCTTCGGTAGCGAAACATTGCATGCATGGGTCCATTATTTGATATAGCCCCCATATAAAGGTACCTCCCGATATTCGGTATTTTGATGGTTTTGCCACATTTTTTCACTGATTTGTCTAAAAATTGGTATTTGTGGGCCATAATGGGTCCTAGTTCGTGTGGCGAAACATTGTAATTATAGGTCCACGTTTTGGTGTAGCCCCCATATTACGGTACCTCCCCATAATCGGCATTTTAATGGTTTTTGCCACATTTCTTCTAATGTTTCTTTTACCCTAAGGTGGAGGGTATTAAAAGTTTGGCCCGGCCGAACTTAATGTTTTTTTACTTGTTTTTTAATAAGGTGGATAACCAAAGAGTCAATGTTACTCTTTCCACTTATTATTTGCTTCGTATTATCTCCTTCGAGAAATATAGTTCTTCATAGACTAGCAATCAAAATCAATGCAAATGAATATGAGTCAGGACAGCCGCCAATGACAAACACCAATAGAGCCCAACCAAATTAGATAGAGACAATGCAACAACTATGCAGAGCCACCAGCGCACAAGCTGCGAGCCACCAAATCATAAACAGCAACGGCGCAACAGCACCACGGCATAGTAACCAACGCACAAGCAGCGAGCCACCAACAACATAAACAATGCCAGTGCGTCTAACGTACTGACAGCGCGCCACCAATGCACAACAACACTGCTTTGTATGTTATGACAGGCGAAGAAATTTTGCCTATTATGTAGATTTACAGGCAAACGGCAAGCACACAAAACAGCGAGCCCCAAAAAGGTAGTCCACAAGAAGGCAGGCAAAGAAATAAACAAAGTGCTGTTACAAACAACAACACCATCAAGGGCCAAAGAGTAAGCAGCGGCAAGGCTCCAAAAATATTCCAACGGTACCAAATGAGTCAATAACCTTAGCTACCCTTGAATATTTTTAGCAAGGTTATGTAACGGAACCACGACTATAGATCCAGTTTTCGCTCTTCACCACAATTTAAATTTTTTTTTCCAAAAAATTGCCGGTACTTACTTCTATTACTTTGTCCTAATTGCCGGTTTCGAAGGACCAGATGTTGACGGGACAACTTTTGCTACAGTCGGTCACCACAGAGTCAGTTTCCTGATCGACTGGTTACCTGCACTTCTGGCTCGGGTAAATACTCCTACTTGGGCAAGGGTTACTATGCAGCCTCAACAAAATGTTTCCAAATACGGTCTGCTACCACTGTGTCGATCCTCGCTTTAAAATCAAACGCACAAAAATTATTTTTAACTTCACTTTTATTCTTTCGCACAATTTTATTATAACGACCTTCTTGGTCAAAGGCAAAAATACAATGTTAAAAACTCCAAAGAAAAAAAACTAATAGAAGATGATTCTTCTTCTCCTCGAACCCTTGTTCTTACTCTGAGAGCAAGAGAGCAGGAAAATGTTAATCAAAATAAAACCAGTGATATGGCATTGCCAGTATAGAAAAAAGGGAGAGACGACGTACATGGGCATTGCCTTCGAGGGCGAACATTAGTGCTACGCTTGTAGCGCTTTTTCCATGAGCAATTATATAGAAATGTGTTCAGATTTAGTTATAGCTCCCATATTTACAGGGTGGGAAACAAAACTGCAACAAAGTCAAAATGTAATTTTTACATTTTTATACCCTCCATCATAGTATGTCATTCCGTTTGAAACACATCGTATATATATATATTCTTGATCAGTATAAAATTCTATGTCGATTTATCAATGTCCGTCCGTCTGTCCGTCTGTGGAAATCACTCTAGCTTCCGAACGAAATGAAGTAGGTTGATAAAATTTTACTCAAATGTGTACTACGTCTGCAGGACTTTTGGTATTGAAAATGGTCCACGTATAGCCCCCATATAACGGTACCTCCCGATATGCGGTATTTTGATGATTTAAGCGACATTATTTACCGGAGTTGTTTCAAAATTAATATTAAAAATTCGTAATTGGGGAAAGCCAACCCAAAGGATCGAAAATCTTTGCGATAATGGACAACACTTGCCTCTTAGAAAACGAATTTCTTTCTGGAATTTTGTCCATAACAAAGTAGAAACTATCTACCGAGGCGTTCCACCGAATACCCAACGTCTTTGCAGAGCTTTTGTCGCCGAGCTCCTTCAAAATTTCTTTGGAATTGGACGTCCACTTCCGAAGTTCAAATCCACCTGATTCAAGAATTTTTATCAATTCTTACTTCGTTTTCAACCCCTGCGAAACAGTATGAACGCCTACCAAAGCATCATCGACATACATATTATTTCTTAGAATTTTCGAGCCAATTGGGAAACGATACTCTTCGTCATCTGCTAATTTTAAAAGAGTTCTAAGAGCCAAGTATGGGGCGCAATTGACGCCACACGTTACCGTCTTCAATTGGTAATCAGAAACCTCTTCGTCTGGGCAAGTTCTGAACAGAATACGCTGGTACTTTGCATGTAATGGATTGATCAAAATTTGACGATACATCTTAGAAATGTCTGCATTAAATACATATTTGTATAAGCGCCAATTTAATATCAGAGAGATAATATCTTTTTGAAGGGAAGGTCCAACATACAACACATCGTTTAAGCTTTTGCCATTAACCGAGGCACATGAAGCGTTGAAGACTACTCTCAGTTTCGTAGTCACGCTTTCAGGCTTAAAAACGCCATGATGAGGCAAATAAAAACAGTCCTTGTAGTTTACAAAGTGTTCTATCTTTTCCATATGTCCCAGAGACAAATATTCTAAAATCACATCATCATAATCCGATTTTCGTTTTGGATTTCTCAGTAACGACGTCTCATTCCGCAAATATTGAGTAAGAGCAACGTATCGGCTAGACTTTGATGCGAAAGAAAAAGGAGGATCGTCTTTAAAGGGCAAGTTCACGGTATATCTTCCATCAGAGCCTCTGGAAGTCGTAGATCGAAAAATTTCCTCGCACTTCTGTTCCTCTATCGAGGTAGTTGAGACCTTGGGTACCTCTTCAATTTCCCAGAACCTAGCTAGCTGGTCTTGCACTGACACTCTAGTGCAATGGGAAACACTCATTGAAGTCGGACAGAGCAAATTGGTTGCTGGGCCAGTCAATACCCACCCAAACACGGTCTCTTGAGCTAAAAGTGAGCCAAAGATATTTTTCCTAACTCCACTGAGCAAGATAATTGGGTAAATGTTTCCACCGAGCAATACATCTACTTGGCCACCTCGATAAAACGTTGGATCCGCAAAATCTAGATCCGGTAATTCGTTCATACGAATCTTATCCAATGGCTGTGTGGGTATATTTCCCGTTATTTCTGGGACCACGAAAGCCTCGAAGTCTAGCGTGAAAGAAATATTTTTCATCGAACCAATTCTAATAGATGCTATTTTGGAGCATTTCGTCAGATGTTGACCGCCTAAACCAGAAATTTCCGCAGAGACAAAGCTTGTTGGTAACTTTAGCATTTTTTGCAACCGAGAGGAAATAAAATAGTCATCCGAGCAAGGGTCTATTAGCGCACGAACTTTGTATGGAACTCCATTCCTTAAAATGTTTAGATAGACAAATATAGGGTCCCAAGACTTCACATCAATTTTATATAAATCAAGGACCGCTATGCAATTAGTAACGTCTCGTTGCAGTTTCTTTAGGCCACATGCCGATTCTTGCCCACAATGAGCAAGATTAAATAAATTTCGCAGCTGAGTATTTACTAGAATTCTCTTATTTTCATATTGGTTCCTCAAATTGTCCCAAGCAATAGAGAAACCTTCGGCTGTCAACGGAATATGGCGATTTATTTCTCTTGCCTCTCCACTTGTTTTTTGGAACAAATGGTAAAGTTTCTCAACAGAGCTAAGTTTTTTATTATTGATATAAATGGCCGTGAACAAATCGCGAAAACTGGGTCATGACACATAGTCCCCATGAAAAACCTCCGTGTCACACGGCGGGACTGAAATTGAGGCAGACACTTTTTGATTTTAAGCAATGGGTACAACCTTTACTTTTTCCTTCCATTCCCCCAAGATGTTAATGCACCTAACGTAACTCTGATGAGCAAGTTTTTTATTGGTTTTTATAGTCTCCTTATTTTTTTATAGCTCTCCGGGTCAGAGGTACAAGCTTTCAGGGTTTCCTTCCATTCTGTCCACAAACTGTGAAGCTCTGATTTTTCCACTTCAATTGCAGAATCATTGAATCCTGAGGAATCAGTCTCCTTTAAATTTTCTTCAAAAGAAATAATTTCCTCACATTTATTCAAAAAGTCTTCTAGACTTGCCATTGTCATCGATCTAGCAAAAAATTCAAAGGCGATAATCTCGAAAAATTATTGATGGGGAAATGTCAACTGCTCCTCCAGAGAAAGGTTTCTACTCTAATTTTGGAATAATTTGTTCCAAAAACGTTTACAATTAAACGTCCAATCTGAGCAGTCAAGAGCACTCAACAAACAGTCCAAATAATGTTCATTCCAACAATGAATTTTCAATGTTTTCTCAATTAGAGTTTTTTTTTTTTGTTTGAGCAAGTCTCTATATTACAAATAGATGCTTCTGACCCACAGTTTCGAATATATAAAAGGGCAAAATCCACTAACAATAAAATTGCTCTTCTTTTACTACTTTACGACGTTTAAATTCGCCAAAATCTCATAGATTCCATTAAACGCCGTTACACACCACTGTGTATGTAGCAATATATTTTTTTTTAATAAGGTGGATAACCAAAGAGTCAATGTTACTCTTTCCACTTATTATTTGCTTCGTATTATCTCCTTCGAGAAATATAGTTCTTCATAGACTAGCAATCAAAATCAATGCAAATGAATATGAGTCAGGGCAGCCGCCAATGACAAACACCAATAGAGCCCAACCAAATTAGATAGAGACAATGCAACAACTATGCAGAGCCACCAGCGCACAAGCTGCGAGCCACCAAATCATAAACAGCAACGGCGCAACAGCACCACGGCATAGTAACCAACGCACAAGCAGCGAGCCACCAACAACATAAACAATGCCAGTGCGTCTAACGTACCACCCATGCACAACAACACTGCTTTGTATGTTATGACAGGAGAAGAAATTTTGCCTATTATGTAGATTTACAGGCAAACGGCAAGCACACAAAACAGCGAGCCCCAAAAAGGTAGTCCACAAGAAGGCAGGCAAAGAAATAAACAAAGTGCTGTTACAAACAACAACACCATCAAGGGCCAAAGAGTAAGCAGCGACAAGGCTCCAAAAATATTCCAACGGTACCAAATGAGTCAATAACCTTAGCTACCCTTGAATATTTTTAGCAAGGTTATGTAACGGAACCACGACTATAGATCCAGTTTTCGCTCTTCACCACAATTTAAATTTTTTTTCCAAAAAATTGCCGGTACTTACTTCTATTACTTTGTCCTAATTGCCGGTTTCGAAGGACCAGATGTTGACGGGACAACTTTTGCTACAGTCGGTCACCACAGAGTCAGTTTCCCTGATCGACTGGTTACCTGCACTTCTGGCTCTGGTAAATACTCCTACTTGGGCAAGGGTTACTATGCAGCCTCAACAAAATGTTTCCAAATACGGTCTGCTACCACTGTGTCGATCCTCGCTTTAAAATCAAACGCACAAAAATTATTTTTAACTTCACTTTTATTCTTTCGCACAATTTTATTATAACGACCTTCTTGGTCAAAGGCAAAAATACAATGTTAAAAACTCCAAAGAAAAAAACTAATAGAAGATGATTCTTCTTCTCCTCGAACTCTTGTTCTTACTCTGAGAGCAAGAGAGCAGGAAAATGTTAATCAAAATAAAACCAGTGAAATGGCATTGCCAGTATAGAAAAAAGGGAGAGACGACGTACATGGGCATTGCCTTCGAGGGCGAACATTAGTGCTACGCTTGTAGCGCTTTTCCCATGAGCAATTATATAGAAATGTGTTCAGATTTAGTTATAGCTCCCATATTTACAGGGTGGGAAACAAAATTGCAACAAAGTCAAAATGTAATTTTTACATTTTTATACCCTCCATCATAGTATGTCATTCCGTTTGAAACACATCGTATATATATATTCTTGATCAGTATAAAATTCTATGTCGATTTATCAATGTCCGTCCGTCTGTGGAAATCACTCTAGCTTCCGAACGAAATAAAGTAGGTTGATAAAATTTTACTCAAATGTGTACTACGTCTGCAGGACTTTTGGTATTGAAAATGGTCCACGTATAGCCCCCATATAACGGTACCTCCCGATATGCGGTATTTTGATGATTTAAGCGACATTATTTACCG